CCCCCCCCACACACACACACACAAAATTCCCAAAGAAAAAAGTGTAAAAAGAAAAGAGGATCAACTTGGCTGATAGCACAAAATAATATATTTAATATCCTGAGCCGTTAAATACACAAAAAGGCATCGATAAATTACACCCTAAGATGAGTTGCTTCTGGTGATATCTCCAAAATCGAAAATATACAGTGTGCAATGATAGGATGGTCAAATGTATACACCAAATTCCATCTTGCAGAAAGTTTTGACGTCAGCGCCCCCATAAATTCGGTATTTAGCATGTACCAAGGAACTTCGCTAAAATACTGAATACCAATTGTATGGCGTCACGTTTATTTTGAAAACAGATTCATCTCAGATATGTCATAAAGAAAGGTGGAATTAAAAAAGAATACTGACCCTCAAACTCTCAAGTTCTTTCGCATGTTTCTGCATAAGCTGTCTCTGGAGAGTTCGGTTCTCCTCCAGCAGCCTGCTCCGTCTAGAACTAATCTGAGACTGGGCGCGTGATAGAGTCTGCATACATTTCAAAGTATTTGCAGTTTGCTGTTTGACAGTAGGTCCATCAACTAGTGTTTTGAGTCTCACAAGTCCTCTTAAAGCCCTCAATGCCCTTCTGGCCTGCAAATGAGAAATCCCCACGGTAAGTTATATCTCAGTACCAGATCATTTATTACATGTTCTCACAAGTACAGCAATATAGCTTTCTCAGAGGTAGAGTTAGAATTTTGAGTTTATGGGTTCTGAATTTCAGAAAGGGCAGTTTATTGGGATCTGGATAAATTATTTAAATATATTAAATTAGTTTTGAAGAAAAATACAAGGTTTGGGCCAAAGCTACTGGGTTCTACGGAACCATGCAAGCTTGTGGCTCCGCCCCTGGCCTTCTATTGCATTTTTTTTAAACTGAGAGAATCAAGTTTATCATAAAATATCTGAAAGAAACTTTCCCGGAAATGGAAAAATCACTTGAATGCATAGGAGTACAGATGCATACCAGATATCCTCGAAATGCAGTCTGAATCCTGATTGCTGCTATTTCCTCCTTGGATTCGCCAGAAAACTGATTAACTGTAGTTAACTGAACAACCTCCGCAGCAGCCTGGGCAGCTGCAACAGCTGCTTCAGCTGCTGCTGCCGTGGCAACTGCAACAGAATAAACATGTTTAGTCTGCTCTTGTTCCACTTCAGCCAGCTTGACCTCTTCTGCTGGAGGAACAGGATGAGGAGGAGAAACAGTAGTAACAACCAAAGTTGAAGAATCTGGTACTGGATGCTTTTTCCCGAACCATTTCTTCTTCGATTTACTTGCTTTCTGAAATTGAGATCAAGAAATGTCAGGCACCTTTGATAAAAAGAAAAAATCCTTATATCATGCTAGAAAAGTAACGCATATTGTTACTTCAAGATAACCTTCTCTGCCTTTTCCTTAGGATCCGGACTCAGAGCCTTCTTTACTGAAGAAAACCAGCTTCCTTTCTTCCCCATCTTCTGCACAAATTACCCCATTTAGAAGACAATACATACTACATTAGGGATGATTCAACTTTTTTTTTTTTAGAAATTCAGTAAACTAAGTAATATTACAAAAGTAGAAATATCCAACTTAATATTATGAGGTATTGTATGGAAGATCAAAATTTTACACTAATGTACATGTAATTTATAGAAGCTAAGATTACCTCAAGATACAAGTTACAACAACAACAGAGTCCCACAAGTGGGGTCCAGGGATGGTGGCGTGTGTGCGGTATATGGAAGATCAAAATTTTACCCTAAAGAGTCCCTCGGCCACCTCAAGATACAAGTTGAAAAATGAAACAGTAACTGAAAGATTTATGGATAATACTTAAATGTATAACCAACATACCAAGTTAGCTGAGCCCACATAATCTAAATCTAATTTCTCAACCAGAGATAAGAGCAAGCAAGATTCTTGATACATAATACTAGGCTGACAAGAGAATCTCATCAATGCATAATTTGGTTCTCCTTTTCAATACTTTTTGAATAGTTCTATAAGCTTCAAAAACCAAAAATACAAACTTTCTAGGATTTAAGATAATGCAACCTATACCCCAACAAAAGTTTCTGAAAAGGGAAGGAATTTAACTATGACATTTCAATTAGTAGCTTCCCTTTCCTAAAGAGTTAAATTTCACAGAAAAATATCAACATTACACTATCCATATACCAAAACAGCAAAGAACTTGAAGAAAACAAAAGGAAAGAAAAATCAAACAGGTAGCTAAAATTTTCTTGATTTGATAAAAGGGAAACATATGAATAATACCTTGCAAAATTAGAGCTCCAGAGATCTCAGAAAGCTTCAATTTTGTTCAAAGACTGTAGCTTTTTCTATATCAAGAATCACAATGTGGCTTCTCCTCTGTAAAAGAAACAAAAAGATAAGAAAAAAATTGGACCCCTCTAATATTTAGCGACCCTTTTTCATTTGTAGTGACTAATGAGAGAGAGAAAATAGATCTTGTTGGGTTTAAGAACAATTCCAACTATTGAATGAGAGAATACGAAGGAAAAACAGCTGGTTTAGCCAAGTATGTGAGTGTGTGTGACCCTCCACTTGGAGGAGCTGGAATAGTGGACCCTACATGAAATTATCAGTTACCCCACACAACTCACTATTTTTTTGTATTTGATGAACAATGATTAGATTCTTTAAACATATTTAGCCGACACAATTTTCATTGTACCGTTAAGCATTTATGGTATCTCCAGTTTTCACATTCCAAAAAAGAAAAAAACACGCAGTTTAATTTGTTATGGTTTTGGATCATAATTAATATGTATTGCACAAATATTCTAAAATATATTCTGCAAAAGTATTTCCGGTGTAAAGGAGTTGGATAAATGATTAATGTATTGATGGTGTAAGAAATTAATTACATAATTGGTGCCGTCATATGAATAAAATACTATACCTTGTATTTGAACTCATGAACTAAAATAATTTTGTAACCACATTTGGGATTTACCCTAAAATCTTCAGAAGTTCACCTATATGCCGAATTTTTTTTGCTTATTTGCACGATATAAAATTTCGACAAAGGATATTCAATTGAACCCTTAAGCTTCGGCCTAGATTACATATAGCTAATTGATCATATAGAATTAGTAATCTAGAAAGATAGAGAAGTAATTTGCTAATATAACAAATTAAATTACATCTATTATATATAAAAAATTACATTATCAGTGTAAACATCTAATTGTTAGTGTCTGGAAATTGAGTTTAAAGAAAGGATATATTACTATTGACAACAACAACAACAACAACAACAACAACGACCCAGTATAATCTCACAAGTGGGGTCTGGGGAGGGTTGTATGTACGCAGACCTTACCCCTACTCCGAAAGGTAGAGAAGCTGTTTCCAGGAGACCTTCGGCTCAAAAGAAGCAATAGGAGATGATATATTACTATTGACAAAAGTAATTTTAAAATTTAAAATCGTCTGTAAAATTGAAGTAGTGTTGTCTTTTCAGATGTATAATGTTTTTCCATGTAAATTAAAAAAAAAGTAAATTCATAAATATTTTTCTTTTTAAATATTAATATGTAAAAGATTGCTTTTACCAAATGCAGACTTTCTTGTTCTTTACTAACCAATGATTACTTCCACATTGTTTATATTTATGCTTACAATTGGTTTCAGTGGAAGTAGTTTATTCGTCCTACCATTCGATTTCGGATGCTGCCATGTTAGATAAAGTTAAACAAACAGTTATCTAATTCAGTTGGTGAATATTAATAGAGTTCTGAAAATAATTACTTAACTTTATCCCTTTATGGTTCAAAAAATAACGGAACAAGCAACAGCATATTACAATCCCAGAAATTAAGGCTGGGGCTATGGGTTACATATGGTGATTAATATTCTCGTTGTCCCAATTTATTTGATGTATTTCGAATTTCGAGAATTAAACTGTTCAATTTTTATTGCGAATAGAATTTTTTCTTTTTTTAAAAATAAAATTTACATATTTGGGAACACATTAAACCTTAAAAGTACTATAAGCCTCAATAATTAATAAATTAAAATATTTAAAGACATATAAAGAATCATGATAAAAAAACTCATTTCGACTCTCAAAATTCAAAATGCATCAAATAAATTAGAACAAATGAGTATAATTTTATATTGTGCAAAATATTTTTAAATGATATGATAGCCTGCCTTTTTCCTTTGTTAGACCTTTTACTTTATTTTTGCAACAAAGGTTCATGCATTTGACGAAATCTTCCAGTTGTTCTTAATCTTAGTATATCTACTTCTCATAGAAGGGCTGGAACTTTGTAAACATTACAATTTGTGCTCATCATCTACAGTTATGCGCTCCCTAACCAAAAGGCAAAACTCAAGAAGCCAACTACCATTAATATATAAAGAATTAACTTAAATGGTCGTTAATCTAATCACTTAATCTAAAAATAGTAGGCGAATGTATAGTATAAATATAGTAAAAAGGTAAACAATGAATGATTGGTTGTGTAAAGATACTTTAATACTCTATATAGTATCTGCAAATAGTTGATGGTGATTGAAAATCTGAATTATTCAAATTGATGGTGCTGTTGAACCTCTCCTTAGATTTCTATTTTCATTTAGCCATATTGGTTATAAAACATGTATGTCGTTAAACGGAAACAGACGATAATCATAAAATTAGTTGTTATTTTCTTGTTTTCTTAAAGGTTTCGGTAGAATTGGTTGTCATTTAAGCATCCTTTGCGATTATGCATAGTTGTTGCTATTGTAATACCTGACTGTCGAAACTCAATAATGCTTGTCATGAATAGAAATATGTTGGGACATATCAACTACCACACAAACATACTGTATAGGGTAAAATTAATTTTACATTAAATAATCGAATGATTGTGTGACACGTGAAATCGGAGGCAAACGAAAGATGAATCGAGTAAGAACCAAGATCGAGGATAACAGCTGTAATTGGTATCGGATAAATTCCGAAGGGAGCATGATCAACGGAAGCAAAAAGAATGTTCGTAAGAATTAAGAATATTCCTTAATATTAAATAGGCAGCCGTTGCAGAAAACTTTAGCATTCATGACATGCCGTTATATATTCGTCAATGGCCCCTATTATTGTCATTTAAGAGAGGGTTGATCCTCGAATATTGTTTCCTAGGCATAGCTAGCTATAATTAGGGACTTCAACAACCATCGTAAGCATACAAAATCTTGGGCAAAACTTGTGATACATTCTATTCTCAAGCTAAATAATATAACTTTATTTCCTGCTTTATATTGCTATTATTTTTGTCCTCGGTGGCATCGCTCCCGGAGCCAAATCTGCCATTTCTTTGGTTTTTATGCTAAGTCTTATTTTTAATCTAATTTATTTATCATTTTTGGATCAAATCAGTTCGCTTGTCTATAAACCACGTAACAAATTCAATTGTACCATTTTATGGGTAAGCAGTTTGGCGCCACTGTGGGGCTTAGACAGTTGCGTAATTGAATTGATCCATGTATCTATTACTAACTTGTTTGATTCTTTGTTTCATAGCAAAAAATCGGAAAAAAGGCAGCTAACGATGCCAACATCGCACACAATGTTGAGGTTGTTACACCCTATGTTTTCGTACGTAAAAGTATGCCATAAGTAAATTGATGAAAGCTCGAAAATGAGATGTTACATCTCGCATTTTCGTACGTTAAGGTTTCGTCGATTAAGCTCAGGAATAAGATTATTTTGAGGTTATAAGTATTATGCTATTTCAGACAAGTGATAAGTAAATTCGTGAAGGTGAGAGGGTAAGCGAATCGAAGAAAATGAGTTTCGTCGAAATTTGACATTTTGGGATAAAATAGGGTCCGAGCTATAATACCCGGTATTTATGGACTAGTGCCATACAACGTACCATATGACCATGATAGTAAGGTATATAAAATATGTTAAAAGTGAGTAGTATTTTAAGTAATTTGAGGTAATTCTTAATTATGTGGATAATTGAGTAATTAGTAATTTTAGTGGGAGATTAACTAATTAATTAGTTTATTTGGATAAGTTTGATTAGTCTCCTTAACGTGGCAGCCCAAGTAATGACTCTTAGTCATTAAAATAGGTGGCATATTAGGGGCTTTAGGCCAAAGCTTAGTCATCCTAAAATGGGGCCCACTCTATTTGATTAAAGAAACCACCTCCCTACATCATTAAAGGGAAATGACAATGTTTACTTAATAACGGATGATGGAATTCTCTAAAGGGATTCTTATGAACCCCGACAAGGTCCAACGTGAATTGCAAATTCGAAAAAAGCTCGGTACAATCTTTCTCAAGAATATCATACGAATTTTTCCCTACTTCGATCCGCCGTTATGTATTTTCGCAAAAGGCATATATTAGAGCGATTGTCAAGAGAATCGGTTCAGGTATGTTAAGGCTATCCCTTCTTTATTTTTGATATGATCCATACGATACAAACGAAATGAGCAAATGCACAACTTCCATAAATGACTATATTCATAGAAATACTAGAGGTTCCTATGTTCTTGATTCTCCATATGTCTTATTAATCTATCGTCTGTTCATGGGTCTCAGAAAATATGTAAGTTGATAAAGTTTATTTCATGATTTAATCAGAGGCATAATGGTCTTATGACGTTCTGAGAGATTTATTGACGTGCTTCTCATGCATTGCGTTCATTTATACGTGTACATTGACCTAATGATCATATGACGTTATATACACGTACACACACACACACACACACACANNCATTTATACATGTACATTGACCCATGACCAGAAGGCGTTATATACGCGTATATTATATGTATATGGGATATGGAAAAAGATTACGGCGTTATATACGCACCACCACCTGATCAGCTGGTATACATTGATGATTTTGCCCATAGTGGTCGAGATGATATGATGGTATGCCCTCAGAGGCTTGATGATGTTGTTTACACGTATATATGTGCATGGTATGACATTTATACATATATGCATGACATTTTAAATGATTTACAGAGCTATTCAGACTTACATGTCGAGTCTTTTACTTCATGTTTCTCTCATGACTTTCATTTACTGATGTTCATTCCTTACATACTCGGTACTCTATTTGTACTGACATCCCTTTTGCCTGGGGATGCCGCGTTTCATGCCCGTAGGTCCCGGTAGACAGGTTGAGAGTCCTCCAAGTAGGCTACCAGCTCAGCGGAAGGTGTTTGTGCGCTTCATTTGTTCCAGAGTTGCTTATTTGGTCAGTAT